TGCACATAAAGCATTAACTTCATTATTGTGTTTTAATAATGATGTTGCGACTAAGTTTAGTGTGTGAGCAAAACAACCTAAATGTTTATCTTTCCCAAATGTATCACTGACAGCTTTCACAATATTCGCTGCATTGTCTGTTACGATGGCAACAACATTATCTTTTCCAATATGCCATTCAGTACATATCCTTAACAACCATTGTCCAAGGTAATCTGAAGTATGCCGCTCATCCAGTTCGTTAACACCAATAACTACAGAGGTCAGTTTATCATTTAAAATAAAATATGCTGTCACTCCCAAATAGCTCTTAGTATTGATAACATCCGTCCATACATCTGTTGTGAGACATAAGTTATCAATACTAGATAACTTAGTCTTTATTATATTTGAAAGAATATCATATTTTTTTTCTATTAACTTTGTTATTGTTTTTCTTGATGGAACTTTATACAAAGGCGCAGTTATGTTCATTAAATAAAGGAAACCTTCTTTCTCCACTGTATTGAAAGGTAAAATGTCTTTTGAGATCATGTATATAATTCCGTTCGTTATTTTACCACTTCTTACACCTCCCTCTGTAATACAAATATTACAAATTACAAAAGTTTCATGCAAAAAGATTCTAAACTATAAGAAATGAAAAGTATTATATGTTTATATGTTATCTAATAATATAAAATAATTTATTTTCTTACCTTCTCAAATGCTTTCACATTTAGTAGGGCTTTGTCAATTCGTGGTTGAAAAAGTTTTACTGTTTTTGTTCCAATTGATTCATTTTTTAGTTTTTTTACGTTTAGAGATTTTGAAGAACTAGAAGAACATGATGGAGATGGAGATGGTATTGATATTATATCCTTATCCTTATCCTTATCAGAATCATTACTATTAATAGTATCAATATCAATACTATCATTAGAATAAGCAGGGTCGTCCTTATCAGGAATATCAGGATCATCCTGGTCATCGTTAACATAATCCTTTCTCTTTCTCTAAAATTTATATATATATAATGTATATATTATATATATTATATATATATATATATATATATATATATATATATTAATATTAACAAATACAAATAATAAAGACGTAATTTACTAAAGTGTTTTGTTTATAATTAAAAATTACATGGTCGTGTTGTTCTTCTTGTTTCCTTTTATTCTGTACATTGTTCGACTTCGTAATGCTGATATCTCCGTGCTTTCTATTTATATGATTTTTTAAATTAGTTGTATTTCCACCACTCTTTACGGTCTGTCCACATAATTTACAAAAACCACCATTCTCAGTCCGAATAAAATAATCCCAAACCATACTTCTAGTTTTTAAGGACACTATAAATTACAAAATAATATACATATTATACATAAATGATATAATCACATTAGGTATTAGGTACATACATACTACATAATTAGGATTTATCCGGACAAACTTGTATAGCTGTATAACCATAACCATATTAACATTAACCATATGTGTAAAGAAAATTATCTTAAAAATGCGCGTATACATGTATACAATGCGATTGAATAATTTTCTTTATGTGTATGGTTATGCTGCAGCTATGCAAATTTATCTGGATTGGCTCTTGAACCTGGATAGCACAAGACAACCCAAAATCATCCAGAATATTCTGGAGCATGCTTTAAAACATCTTAGTCAAATGTTAGATCTTATATTTAAGATTGTCTTAAGTTCATCTTCAGATTTGCCGCAGCCAATAAAAACGATCCACACTATCCACAGTATCTGAAGATGAACTTAAGACGATCTGAAATATAAGATTAGACTGTGATGAAAGTGTGAACTGTGAAGTGTGAATACCGTTCTATAAAAATCGGCCCTTGAGTACATGCAGGACATTGCAGGATGATCACAGGACATTTTGTGTTGCTTGCAGTTAAAGGTTAAAAGTAAAAGGTAAAAAGTGTTGCTTATTAATAGAAAAATTTTCTATTGCTTGCTTACTTGTATTTCCCTATATATTCTTCTGCAAATAAAGTTTAGAAACTAGAAATAGATATAGTATAGAATAATAGGATATCAAAGGATTTATATTTCAATCACACATTTATCTCTAAATGTACTTTCTTGATTCTTAATCTCCTTATCTGTGACCTTCAAATAAACAAAAGTCAGAAGTCAGAACTCAGAACAGAATCAGATAGTCAATAGTCATATTCAGTATTAATTATTAAATGTGCATTGTAGAAATGTAGAACACTGTTCTGAAAGTTTTTAGTTACAGATTCCCAGTATTCTCATATAAGATATAAAATATTTAATATAAGAATGTTTTGATAATATATCATGCACATGCATCTGATACCAGATTCTCAAGCAAACAAAGTAATATTGCAAATAATTAAAGTTGAATTTTATTATAGATAATGTAGATATTAATACATTGTTAAAATTAGAAGGAAACTAAGGTACTCTTTCTTAAATTATTGTGAAAATTAAATTACCTTATGCAAATATGCAGTTTTTTTTTGAGGTTAGTTCCCTCGGATGAGAGAAAATTAGTGCCTTCAGCTCCGCCCCGGAGCTATATAACACAGCGTTGCTTAACCTCTATCAAATATGCACTATGCAGTAAGCAGTAAGTAATAAGTATGCACTATGGCCACTATGCAAGTTAAGTCGAAGCTGTCGAAGTCGGTTTTCGATATTTCAATGAAGTTTGTCACAGTACACTAGTACAGTAAGTTTCGAGGGCTGGCGTGGAAAACCGGGATTTTTTCAATTTTCAACCACGGGGATCGTTGATGTTGATGTTGATAGCGGCGATCGTGAGAACGCTCGGCACTCGGCACTCTCGGCTCGGCAGTCGGCAGTCTCGGCACAGCTCGATATTGCGATCCGCTCGATTCCGGCGTGATAGAATGTTTACGTAAATAATACGTAATATTCGGACTCGTCGTAGTTTACGGGACAGTGATAATCCTGGCTGTGTGCGTAAAATACGATCGATGTTGTTCTATCATTTCACGAAACACGAAACTAATTGCGAGCGTCAAAATATTAGAATATTACCTGTCAAAAAAATCCGTAGCGTTCCTCAGCGTCCCAAAATATACCGATCTACAATCTACCATCGCCTCAGGCCCCAGGCGCCTCTGTCTGGCTAGTGGCTGCCGTGGCTGGGCCTCGGTAGACCTGCGCAATA